AGGTTCAATATATTTTTGAACCAGTTTAATCTAATTTGTTCCAGTACAAGACTTCTTGTACTGGTCCTTTTTTTCTGCTTTGGCATTCTTAAAARAACTAAAAGAACTATATCCTATCTCATTCTCTCCCATTTTCTATCTATCATCTTATTTTCTACCTTCTACTATTTCCTACTGTATCTTACCCTATACCCCACAGACATATTGATATTTTTATATTATAATTTATGAATAACACTTACCTTCATCAGGGTTTGATAGTCCATGGTACTACCAATTTTACCATAAAGGATTTTGTTGGTAGTAATGTTTGCAAATAGTTTTTATCTTAATTATAATTTATTAATGAGGAAAATTATCATGTAATGCTGGCTCAACCCTATTCCCAACCCTAAACCTAACCCTAAACCTAACCCTAAACCTAACCCAAAACCTAAGCCTAAACCTAACCCTACAGTAATCCTAACCCAAAACTGATCTGTACTAGATTGAGTTATATTGGACTGGCTCAAAATAAACTGAACCACTTCAGAAGAAATTGAACTGGTTCAAAATCATATTGAACCTGAACTATAACACATATAATAACCTTTATGGTATTGCCACATTTTTTTACATTAAAATCACTCTTCTTTTCTTCATACCTTGGATGGCTCCATCTGTTTTAAACCAAACTGGCAAATGTACTATAATCTTGTTGAGTTATTGAGAATTACATATTTTACAAAACATTATGTGTCATGTATAAACAAAGTGCAATTCAAAAAAGTGAGTGACATCATTAATGTACTGTAAGTCAAAAATAAATCATCTTTGTGAAACTCCTCAGGTTACGTTTTACAAGAAAAAACAAAAATTTTGTTCCATTAAAATCTAAATATTGTTTTGTATTGAAGAAATAATAATTTTCTATCCACTTAAAGATGTTTTAGCACTAAATTCCATAGAAACTTACTTTGTCCACAAGAATCTGGTAATCAATTGTACTTAATAGTTTARATAAATGTAAATTTAAAAGAAATTATCCAAATCACATTGTATCAATGTGTATGTTGGTTTCTGTATGTTCATTAAGTGAAGTTCAGATTATYATCTACAAAGTTTATGACATCCCTTGATCTAGAATGGTGGCTTCTAAAGCTAAATTGGTTTGACTTATGTATGTTAGTCTTGTTAATGTAAAATATATATGTATTTAATATTTTATCTATCAAAATGTGTGAAAGTTTAATTTGTATGAAAGGTAAATAAGATTCCTTTTGTGACCCTATCATTTTGTGTAATCACCACTTTCTAGTTAATAGTTAAAATTACTAAATTTCCTTTACAAAACAAGTGTGTTCACTGTATGTTGCAAGTCTTCTTGTCTAACATCACTTTTAATATTTACTGTCTTAATTTTGATAAACCTTACCTGTATTTTGTGCAATGTTTGTTTTAAATAAWAATCTCATTAATCTGATTATAGGCTAGTACAGTGATTCATTTTGTTTGGTATTCCAATATTTGCCAGAATTCTAATTTCTAGATGATTTTTCAGTCCAAGGTAAAGAGTACTTCAAATGTCCTGAAAACCATGGAATCTTTGTACGACAGTCTCAAATTAACATAATAGAYTCCAAGGTAGGATCACCATCACCACCCAGAGCATCRCAACTCAGACAGCCAGCTAGTGCCTTGAAGAAGGAAAAGGTAAATACGGCAATGAAGTCACAAAGCATCCATGTACATTATTTTCATTATAATAGTGGTAGTTCATGACCACCAATATCAGGGGACTGGTGATGAATCAAGGAAGCAAGGGCTCAAAGGCATTACAAACTCCTGCCTCCCCTCTCCCCCCAAAAAAGCACCAAAAACTTACATGACTAGAAGTGTCAAAGTTTGAAAGATGTATTGGTATGTCATTCATGACAAAGGCATTTGTTAAGTGTGATACATACGTATATTGCACCATTTTTGAATGTCGTGAATCCCAAAGATGCTGTGCAAGAATAGACATTTGAATTACAATAAAGTTTTGTTGATAAATCGTAAAGAGGTGTTGTCTTTTAAAATTCTYCCACTAAATCTCTCACTACAACAACATCTATTTTACTTTTGATTGGTTTTTCAAAATCACGTGTCAAATGCACTACACAAGACACTTTTAGTGTACAGTAATTCTGCAATAACATTGCAGTTCGTAGTGTATCAGTATGCTTTAAAGCTCCTTCTCAGGAAAGAATTGGTGATTTACAAGTGTGATGTCATCCTAGTAAAATTTCTATTCTTATTTCAGTCATTTGGCTCGAGAGGCTCACTTGAAAATGTTGCAAACCAAGCCAAGAAATCCCCGCCAACCTCTAAACTACAAAGCCCTAAAACAAGCACAGTAGCACCACCTCCCTCAAGTCTGACTGCAACAGCAGCTGCACCTTCCGCAGGTCTTCCTGCACCATCTAGTGTCACTGCTACACCAGTCACTAAGTCTGCTAGTTCAGACATCAAACAGTCTCCTTTTGGTTTTAAACCTGAGAGAAAGCCATCAGGTACAGTAGGTGAATGCACTGAGCATTCTTTGCAGATTAGGCCCTTGGAAACAAAATATTAATTTTTGCAAAATGTAAAATGTTGTCATTTTAATGTTTTATGTTAATATGATAAYGTCTTGCAATTAGGAAAGAAACTTGGATTAATAACTGTATTGATTATTTAATATTTCTTGTGTTTAGGTCCTACTATATCAGCTGATGAGTTCTTGGAGCTGCAGCGCAAAGTTATAGAAAAAGACAAAACTATTGTAGACCTGGAAGGAAAACTAGACACTCTAAAAGCTAAACGACAAGAAGATAAGTACAAAATGAAGGATCTGGAGAAAGCCAGAATGCAGTTAGAGCAGGTATTCACAATGAACCCTTACATAAATGAAGGGGCAGATACAAGAACGGCTTAAGTGACGATTCAGGGTATTTTTGAAATTTTCGAAAAATTGTAAAAAAAAATCACTTCAATCACTTATTTTCAGTCTAGTTAATCTTATTTAGTTCTTATTTCTCCTGATTTCTTTCGAAAAAGAGCAAAAAAGACCCATAGTTACGGACTTCTTTGGCTTGACAACTGATCGCTAGACCGTAAAATATCCTAGATAAATTGCATATTCGCGCCAAATTTGTGACTTTGACCATTGGTTTGTTTTGGTTCGAAGCTCTACTGCAAGAAGTCGAGAAAGGCATTTTTTCAYGTTTTTTTCAGCATTTTTGCCTTTAGTCACTACTCTTCGGACATCATTAAGTTTGTAGGTAGCGAGGGAGCTTACTTGCTGAAAGAATCCAGCTTGGTGTGTGAATTTTTAAGTGATTTTCCTTCCGTGGTTCATTCAATTAATTTGGACCTTTGCTTGAGAATCACTTAAAAGACCGTCTAAAGGCAAATCCTTGGAGCTGCCACAGTAATTTTTGGATGTTTTGKCTATTGACGAACACAAGCGACTTGAAATTTTGGCAGAATTCCGAGAAGGCTGTAGACATTATATCAATTTCTATTTCGGAGTGGATGGAATATCCGCTGTCGAGGCATGTAAAAATCTCCCAGAATTCATTGCGCGCAAGAATCCGGTTAAACACTGGTATAGGAACCCTAGTGCATAAGGCTGAAACTAACCCTAAGCTAAAGTTTAGGGGGAGGGGAGAGTACAGTACGTAACTAAATGTGGCTTTTTTTTTTTGCTTTTTTTTTAATGAAATCATGAGAAATAACTAGCAAACATGATTATTTAGACCAGAAACAAATGATTTGATGTATTTTTTATCCATTTTTCAAAAAATTCAAAAATACCTGAATCGTCAATTAAGCCGTTTTTGTATCCGACCCTTCAAATCATAGTACATAGGGATCAAAAGCAAAAAAAAAAAAAACAAAAAAAAAAACAAAAAACAACCAACAAACAAAAAAACATGGCTTCTATAACTCTAGCATTGTTTCACCTTTTTTGTCAATCGGGTCTCAGACTATTTCCACAGGGAGCCCAAATTGCAAACAAGGAGCTCAAGGAGTCAAGTGTTTGCATTAGAGCTTTGCAGTTGTGCAAGATTAACTATTCATGTGCTTTTTCTTATGTTATGATTCTCAGATACGTGTATCATTTTCATAATACTTTAATATCAACAGATTTTAATACATATGTTTTCCTTCAACGTTATTAGTGCTTGTTTCTATAAATATTTTACGTAATTATGGCATTTTGTTGTTGTTATTTTTTTCATTGTTTTCTTGTTTGTTTTTGTATTAATCTTTAGTTTAATTTTATATAGTAAAATTGCACTTACTAGTATACCTTTTGAAGATTACATGTATAATAATTATTTCAAAAGATGGCATAAATTCTGGTTCTTTTCAATTTCAATACTTATTTCACTACCTAATAATAATAATAATAATAATACAATAACCCTGAAGTTACATTTTTCAAAGATAACTGGAAAACCTTGCATACAAATTGAATCTACTGTAAATTCATAACCAATAAAGAAGTTACCATAGCAACACTTCATGTGTCTTGACTTTCCCCATAGCACCATTAGTYTCAGCACTCTGCATTGTATATGATGGGTGAAATGCTAATTTGATGGTGAATTTATAAGCCTTTGTCCAAGAGCTTGAAGAAGCTTACAGTTAGCTGGAGAAATTAGGCCATCACTTTTAACAGTTTTTATTGTGTTTTTAACCAATCTAGTGAGTTGTTTGTTTTGATTGCAAAACTAAAACCTTAAAGTGGTTTTATTGAGATTCTGTTTTGGAGCTTTCTYCACCTGTTTAAATGTAAATACTGAAAAAAGAAAATGGTAAAGAAGCTTCAATGACCCTGGCAATGGCAGGTACAACAGCCCTTTCTTCAAGGGAAAATATGGGGGAAATTCAGTGTCAAAGTATAAATTTTAAGTATTGTGTGGAGTTTTGTTTTTGTGCAGCAGTGATTTTACCATTTTAATCTTTTGTGCTTTTCAGATGATAGAATATAAAAGCAAATGGCAAGAAGCTCAAAGAGATTTGCAAAACCAGCTTGCAGCAGCTAAAAAGGTACAGTACAGTGTACATACATGTACATGCAATTTAAGAAAATGTTATGATGTGCTTTTGATGTGCTTTTGAATAAAAAGTTGTTGTTTTACATAAAGTTTGGACATGATCATAAATTCATATATTACCAAGTAGCATAAAAAATTGTTTGTTGTAATGTCTCTCTCTTTTTTTATAAAATAAAGTAAATCTCTTGTTTTATGAAATAGAATCGATTTAGCTTGATATTGAAAATTTCATAAACAAGTTACTGAGATATACCAATGGCATATATTATTTGATCAACATAACATATTATTATTTGATTCAACATGCTCAAGACTATACTTTACACCCTTTTAGAATATTATTGCCCAAAGCAAAAAAAGAAATTAGATTTGCTAGTTCCTATTTTCAACTCCAGAATGCACCATCCCTTTCCACTTTTCATCATTATTTTCATTAACTGCAGTAATTGTATCTATTATGCTTATTAAGAACAAGTCAAGAGATTATAAATAATTAGTGTTTTGGATAAAAAATATATACAAAATTATTTTCTCTTTTGATAAAATTATGGTGTAACTTTTAATTTTCTCATCATTTTATTATTACATATAATTATTATATCTTTATTAATAATATTGTTATTAAAAAGAATATTAAAAGGACTATTGTTGGTTTCTAACTTGTCCATTCATGTCTCTTTCAACTGTCTAACCTTTCACAAAATGTTTGTAATGGAATTAAAGGTTTTGTTCTGTCAATGTTTTTCTTAAAAGGCAGGGTACTTTATCAAACATTTAAAGAGCAAGTAAGAATTGTTTAGAAATGAACTTTGCTAGTATGTGAAAATTCAGTTTTATTGATGTACATTTTATTTAAATTGCAGCAGTGTTCGATGTAGCATTTTAAAATATCTGATTGCAGAATTATGTTTTTACATTTTGGTTACATCTATGTTTTGTTTAGTCACAGCTGTTTTACATTATTATTTTAATGTAATATTTATATGACTCTACAAAGTTACTTACAGATCTGGCATATAATTATTTGATTTTTAATTGCAGTTTAGAATTAATGATTGTATAAATTATTTTATAATAATATTAATATTTTAGTCTTATCTGGAATAATTTGTATTCAAGCCCACATATGATTACTTTAGTCTAGTATATTCTGTATATAGTTATTTTGTGGCATTACTTATAGCACTTCACCCTCTTGAACACAGCTGCAAATGTTTGTAATTGAATAAAGTGTTATCTATCCATCTTTCTTTCATAACTTAAGGAGTTAAAAGAAGCACATACAAACAAAGACGAYCACTCTGATGAACTTACAGAGTTACAGGAAGCTGTGGAAATGGCTACTTTAGACAAAGAAATGGCTGAGGAAAAGGTATGTATTTCTKGTACTGCGACCTCGTCAAAAGAGCATCAATCCGAAATATTATTCTTTGACTATTYTCTTTGAGTTTTTGATAATACTGAATACATACATCAATATCTCATCATTTTACATATATTGACATATTGTTTGTTCCTTCCTTCCTTTATCCATTCATTTACTGAATAAATGATTTTTCACTCCCTTCCCATCTCCTCCCCTCCCATCCCCACTGATGTTTCCATCACACTGTATCTTCTCTACTTTCAACCTTTCTTCAAATTGAAACAACAATTTATGATTTTAGCTTGAAACCCTTCAACAAGAAAATGAACAGTTAAAGGACAGAGTAGAAGAATTAACTCTTGACCTGGAAATCCTTAAGAATGAAATTAGTGAGGGAGGTATGTATACTGCTATGAAATTCCAGGATGGTTGTACAGGTAGATTATAGATTGTTATTTGCCTGACAATGCTACATGTTTCCACTCTGTAAATTTTGTACACCAGTTTAAATTTGATGTGCAGGATAGCAATAGACCACTTCTGATATATGCTTAAGTCGACTAACCAGAAGCAAATGAATTGAAGACAAGACTCTGTACTTCTMGGCAATTCTTTTGTTTCCATGGAGACTTGTCCTCAGTTCTTGTGTGGATGAAAAGTGTGCATAGCTATGAGACTTCAGGCAGTGAGGAGAGGTTTACTCAAGAATATTATTYCTGTCTTTTATGATATACATGTAACACTGTGCTATATTGATGTAGGAATGGAAGGAGCTGCTGCAAATGCTCAAGTGAAGCAACTTGAACAGCAAAACAGCAGGCTAAAGGAGGCCATTGTCAGGTAAAAATGTTGATTTGGATATGTTTTCATAGTCTACCCTTATAAGGCAATGATACTAAGATACTGTGATTGCATATTCCAAGAAGAAAATGCATTATTAAATAGTAAGTTGATATTGGATTTAAAACAAATGGTGCTATAAATGACAATTCTAAACTAAAAATAATGGAACTACTAGTAAACTAGCATGAGCTGTGTTTTACTTGTGTTTCAAAAGAAACATTTTGTGGACAAGTTTTTATGTTAAAAAGTAGGTGAAATTAGTTACTCTGCACTTTACTTGACTTTACTCCTTTTTAGGATGAAGGAACTTCAGGTCATTGACAAACAGCAAATTCAATCCCTGCAAAAACAAGTCAAAGATCTCCACAATGCAAACACCACCTTAGAGAGTGAGAGAGACAAATTATTAGAAGAATCACAGGTATTGTATTTATCCTGCATTTTTGAGCTA